GGATAACATGAACAGTATTATTTATAATGCAACAAACCTCTGCACCTCTAGGGTATAGATCAGCCACTAACATTTTATCACATACTGCCTTATTTTCTAACTTTAAAATGTTAGTTTTTGCCAAGAGAAAGAAATTATATGCACAAATGATGTCAGTATAATAAAGAAAGTTCCTAATTGTCAATTTAGAGGTGGCTGGGGGTAGAGATTGAAAATATTATTAAATCTCAGGCATTTTATTATTCTCATGCTTTCACTCATTAATCCTCACAGTAAATTTCTAAGGTACTAATGGATCTGTAGCTAATAGGAAAAAGAAATTAAAACATACAGTTTTAATATAACTAAATCATGTAGAAACTGTGCTTCTGACATTCAAATGCAGAAGCCCATCTGTGTTGTTATACTACTTCTTTAGTTTGTCATTGTTGCTTGTCATCCATTTGATTCAAACTCAGTGTGACTCAGTAGCACAGAGTAGGACTGTCCTGTAGGGTCCCCCAAACTATAATCTTTACAGAAGTATATTGTTACCTTTGTCTTCTATCAAACAGCTAGTGAGTTTGAACTACTAAATTAGCAGCCCAGCATTTAATCACTGTGCCACTAGGGACCAGGGTTCCTTACTCCTTTGTTTACCAGTGTGTAATTTAATACTTTGTTAAAAAAATATTTAAAAAAATGTTGCCGTGGAAGGATTCTGAAACAAGTAATTTACTTGTTACTCTAAATTAGTGTTCTTAGATGTCATTCAATCAATTTTTGATTCATCATGACCCCTTGTGACAAAGTAGAATTGCTCCATATTTCCTCAGGCTTTATATTTATGAGAGCACATGATCAAGGAGTTAAATACAGTGGCTGGGTGGGTATGAACTTCTAGCCTTTCAGTTCATAGTCCTAGACTTCACCATTGCACCAACTAGGCTTCTTGGCTTTGTATTAAGTATTTGTTGTTGTTGTTATCCAGTGACTTTTGAGTTGCTTGGAAGTTGCTTCCATTAAATGTTGTGACAAAAACTCACTTGCTTTTGAGCCTGCATCACTTGGTCACCATCTGACCTCCAGTTTTTAGGATGTGAGCCAGCAGCCTGCCATCTGATCTGACAATTTTGGGTTCATCAGCCCCTTCAGCTATGTCAATGAGAGGAAGCCTCCAGCTTGATACTTGACCCATAGATTTGGGATTTGCTAACTTCCACTGCTGTGTGAGCCATTTCATTGGGATAAAGCTCCTTCTCACCTCCATATACTTGCTTCACTAGTTTTGCTTCTCTAGGAAATTTACTGTAAGACATGGACTGAGTATAAATCCCAGTGGGGGTAGGTTTTTTTCAATCAACTAAAACATTTGATCCCACTATACTTTAGTAGAAGAAATTTGACACTTTTAACACTGATTTAACAAGGCCATGAAATGGCAAGACTTAAAGAAGAATTCATATTATTTAATTGCAAATGTTCATCTAGCATGATAATTGGAGATGGGGTTGGCCAAGCTACACAAATACATATTAGAACTTTGGTCTAAATCTGTTACAATGAATAAAGAAAAAAATGTTAAACAGATAATCTCTATGGGTTTTCTAGTTTCACACTCTATAGATAAGTGCTAGCTACATTATTAATGTATTTTGAATATGGAAAACTTACTTGTTAAAGTTTAAACTTCAGATAAATTACTCCTGTAAACCTAGGTCCTTGGATCCTAAAATCTGGGAAGGTGGGCATTAAAGAGTTCAATTTCAAAAGCCAGTTTTTCTGAGCAATTTTCACTCTTGAATTTTTTTTTTTCAAGTGAGAGAATGTAATTCTCCTCCATCCACTGCCTCCCATCTGACGACATTCCAAATCTAGATTGTTCAGCCTTTGTCTTCCTGTCAGTTTTTCCTCTTTAACCCAAAACATCCATTAAGTGAAGATTCACTGATTATAATAAGCATGACATCCTTTTATGCATACTGGCTTGAGGTATGTCAAACAGGCACTTGTGATTACTGACCTTGGCAGCATAAACTGGTATACTCTTTCTCAAGAGGAACACATAACAGTCTTAGAAACATGTACATACATACATACATACATACTTACACACATAGTGGAGAGGAAGTAAAGAGTGTTGCTATTGTTGTTATGTGCTGTTGAGTCGCCTGTGACCTTTAGCGACCCTATGTACAGCAGCTCCGAACCCTTCCCTGTCCTGAGCCTGTCTCACTAATTCTGACACACCACCCCCCATTGCCCCAGTTACTGTACCAATCTATCCCATCCAGGGTCTTACTTTACTGCACTGTCCTCCACTCTTCTGAACATGATGTCCTTTTCCAAGGACCAGTCTCTTGTGGCAATGTGCCCACAGTATGTAGATGGAACTTCAAAATCCTAGTCTCTAAGGAGAAACTTGGGTGTCACTCTCTCCAAGAGAGACCAATTTGTTTTCTTGGTTGTCCATGGTATGTTCAAGACTCTTCTCCAGCACACAACTTTAAGGCATCGATTCTTCTTATCATCCTTAGTCATTGTCCAGTTCTCTGATGCATAGCAAGTAACTGAAAAGACCATGGCCTGGATTAGGAACACCTTAGTCTGTAGACTGACATCGTTGCTTTTCAGTACTCTGGAGAGATCCCAGACAGCAGGTTTTCCCCAGTGCAATTCGTCTTTTGCGTTTCTGACTGGTAGTGTTAAGAATGTTGTTTGTGGAGGTGAGCAAGCTCTGACTATTAATAATCTCAATCTCTTCTCCATCTATCATGGTGCTTTCAACTGGCCCAGTGGTGAGAATCTTTGTTTTCTTGATGTTCATATATTGTGGGGTTTTTAATCAATGCCATAAAGCATGGATTAATTGTTGAACAGAAAACCAATTTGTTCTGTAATTCTGTAATCTTTCATTAGAATCACAATCAAAAGTTTAAAAAAAGTGTGAGAGATATATATATTCAGGGGGCTTCTAGTTACAGCATAATCTAAAAGAAGAAAGTAATGGTGGAAAGAAGACTATGAATAATCATATTAGTGGGTGTTCATTGAAAACTGTATGATGCAAAAGAATTACTAGCTAAAGTATTTCACTTCAGGGGTTTCACTGAATAAATGTAGTTCCATACATTATTTTCTTGACTTATGAAAATATTTGTTATCTTCAATAAGGACAGGGGAGGTCTACTGTGGTGCTATTACGGGGGAAATGATTTTTTTAACCTATTTTGTTAGCCTACTAATGTTGTGGTGACTAAAACAACACCCTTAATCAAGCAAGGTGGAGACTGTGACAAAAGTGCAGCACAGGGTGAGGTTCCTATCAGAAGGTTGTTATGAGCCATAGTTAACTTGATGGCACCTAACAACAACAACAACAACAACAACAACAACAACAACAACAAATTTTCTAATTTTGTTTGCAATGGATATGAATAACTTCCCCAACAAAGTAAATGTTTCACTTGTTAATATGTTATTTTTAAAAAAAGTTATTTTGTACTACTAGGAATCATTAATATATTTAGGTTGTTACTGAAAGAAACATAATCACACTGGTCAGGTTCAAATCCCAGAAGAGATTCCAATTATAAGAAAAGAATAACTTATTGAAATAAAACAACTGTATATATTAGAACATTATTTTTTTGGTGGTTGTTTTTAAAGATTCAAAAGACAAATTGTAAGTCTTCAGAATACTAAAATATTTTCTTATCATTTTAAATTATGAAGAGCCAGGGACACAAGGTACTGCAGCAAACACTTTTAATAAGAATACAAAATTCACACCAGAGGCACATTCTGGGGAATGTAAATGAACTATCACAAGAATAAAATAAGGCTCTCTCAGAGTACAAATATACAGGAAGGAATGATTTAAAATGGGTTTATGGTTTACAATCACATTACATTGCATTAAGCACTGAAAACAGGCATATTAATTAAAAAGCCAGCTAAAAGGCATCTGAACATATAGAACAAATCTTACAGTCCACAAAATTTGTGTATAATGGTAATTTTAAGTAATTCATTTCAATACAAAAGAAATAAACGTGTGAAAGACAACTCTCAAAATATTAATTTATGTCTATGACAAAAATGACAAGAACTTTACATTTAATAAAGGTTACACTTCTGACAGAACCACATGGTGGACAAATCACCCCATAACACATAATCAACGTTCCTCAACTACTACAACGGTACTGGCCTTTCACATCTCTTCTTGTGTTACCATCACACTACCCTACATTTCCTTGCCGTTGCCCAAATGAAAAATAAAACAACCAAACAACAAAAACCCAACAGTCCCAGTTTCTATTCCTCAAGAGGAATTAAGAAAAACAAACCAACCCCCCCAAACTCAAAAGTTGATTTCACCATGAACTCTAAGCAAAACATGGTTTAATGAGTACAAAGAAACCCAAAATTTTACACAATGTTCCTTTCTGAGGAAGGAAGAGACACATTAAACATTATTTGAAATAAGTTTCTTTATGGATTATGTACATTGGTTGAACAAGAATTACTGTATCTGAGAAGGCACATATCTGTGATTTAAGGCTTAAACGGTACTGTTACGTATGGAAGTCAGTAAGAGCAGTCTAGGAATACACTCCTATAAAAATGGAATTTACCCCAAAACTAATTTTTATAAGCTCAGATTTCTACTCTAGAAACTGTTGAGAATCTCTATTCCCAAGTCTACCTGTCATAAAATTTTCCTAAGACAGTTTCATTATGAATCAAAAGAAATTGCTAACATAACCATTCAATGACTCTGGGTAATGCAAATCCATAAGCTTCAAGATCTCACAAAATGACAGTGTGATTCCTGCATCTTTAAAAAAAGTTTACACAAACTTACAGACTTATGGTACAGACTTATTTTTAAAAAGGTATTTGCCACAACTCCACAAGTCAACCAGTCATTCATGAGAGCTGCTGCCTCTGTGTGGATGCTGCAGGAACACCATAGAATTTTACTCTGCAAAATAGTTTCTTTATTTCTTTAAGACAATACATGAAAAGGAATCTCTTAAAGACGTTTAATATATTCATATACAAAATATCTGATGTTGATACAAATCATGTAAACCTCCCTTTGGAAAAGCTACCACCGGCCCTCATGTCCAGGACCAAAAACCTTGACATTTTTATCTTTTCAGTGCAAATCTATATTGGATGTTTTCAGATGTACAGAAATACCCATTGACCCTCACCATACAAAAGGATTTCTCCAGAAGGAAAATTATTGTGTCCAGATTATACAAATTGTCTTTAAATTAAAACCACTCAAATTCCTATCCAATTGAACAGTTCAATTGTTAAAATATGAAAAAGGGAAAATTAAAGCTGTTTGTGCAAGAATCACTACAACAGTTGCCACCCCAACTCTGCTTAATTGTGATTAGGTTTGTTTAGAAATAGAGAAGTGTGACTTTCGCCAGGTAGGATTACTGTTCTTCAAGCCAAGACGGGGCATCTACTCCAGGAGTTTTTAACTTGATGTGGAACTGTTTAAGTGTCTGTTCAAGCTGCTTCTGATTCCCAGCAAAGTATGCGGCAATGGCATTGTGGAAAAGGACCAACTGATTGTGTAACACTTTAACCTGTGGATAAAGCAGAGTTAAAGACCGAGGATTAACACTAGTGACAGAGAGAAATGAGGCAATGGGATTTATCATAGGCTTTAATTAAACCATGAATCTCCCAGAAGAAAGGCTGTTTTAATAATGATAAAGCACACACGGCGCTGTTCACAGCCTTGTAGGATCCCAAAGTGTTCGATAATTTTCCACTCTCCCCCACCTCCAATTAAAAGAGAGAAAAAAAGAGTCTAAAAACAGGTCAGTTTAGGAGGCTAAAGATACTCTGCTAACCATTTTAGAGTATTATTGAGGGCATTAATTAAAAATATCACTATATGCTTCTTCAAAGTATATTCAATGAGATAGCAAACAGAATTGTTGTTATGTGTCAAGTTGCCTGCAACCCATAGTGACCCTATACACAGGAGCCCTAAACCCTGCTCTATCCTGTGCCAATCCGACTGTCTCTGACACACCTATCCTCATTACTCCAGTGCCTGAATCAATCCACCTCATTGAGGGTCTTCCTCTCCTGTGCTGATCTTCCACTCTCCCAAACATAACGTTCCTGTCCAAGGACTGGTCCCTACTTGCAACATGTCCAAAATATGTCACTCAAAGCTTCAGAATCCTTGCCTCCAAGGAGCAGCCTGGTTTAACCCTCTCTAGGATAAACACACATGTTCTCCTAGCAGTCCATGGTATATTCAATACTCTTCTCCAACACCACAGCTCAAAGGCATCACTTCTCTATCATCCCTAGTCATTGTCCAGCTCTCTGATTCATAGCAAGTGACTAAAAAGACCATGGCCTGTATCAGGCGTGCCTTAGTCTCCAGACTGACATCACTGTTCTTCAGTACTCTGAAGAGGTCCCTAACAGAAGACTTTCCCAATGCAATATGTCTTTTAATTTCCTGGCTGCTCGTGCTAAGAGCGTTGACTGTGGAGCCAAGCAAACTAAAGCTGTTAACAATCTCAATCTCTTCACCATCCGTCCTGATGCTGCCAATAGGCCCAGTGGTTAGAATCTTTGTCTTCTTGACATTGAGCCTCAATTCATACTGAAGGCTGCAGTCCTTGACCTTCTGCAGCAAGTGCTCCAGGTCCTCTTCAGTTTCAGCAAGCAGGATTGTGTCATCTTCAAAATGCAGATTGTTGATGGACCTTCCACCAATCCTGATGCCACACTTCTCCTCACACAGCCCAGCCTCCTGAATAATCTGTTCTGCACAGAGGTTGAAAAGATGTAGAGCTAGTACACATCTCTAGCACACACCCTTCCGAATTTTGAACCATGCAGTGTTTCCTTGCTCTGTTCTGAGTTTTGACAACTGCCTCTTGGTTCAAGTATCGGTTTTGCATTAGCACGATCAAGTGTTCTGGGATTCCCATTCTTTTCAGAATCAGCCACAGTTTGTTATGGTCCACACAGACAAACGCCTTTGCATAATCAATGAAACACAGATAGACATTCCTCTGCTATTTCCTGCTTTCAGCTAAGATCCATCTAACATTAGTTAAGTATCCCTAGTACCACGACCCCTTCTAAAGCCAGCCTGAACTTCAGTCAGTTCTCTGTTGATGTGCTGTTCCTGTTGTTTTTGGATAATCTTCAGTAGAATCTTGCTTGCATGTGACATCAATGATATTGTTCAATAATTTCCACAGTCTTGGGTCACCTTTCTTTGGGATGGGAACAAATATAGATCTCTTCAAGTTAGTTGGTCAAGTGGTTGTCCTCCAGATTTCTTAACACAGCTTGGTGAGCACATCTAGGACAGTATCTGTTAGTTGAAATATGTCAATTGGTATACCATCTATTCCTGGGGCATTATTTTTTGCTAATTCCTTCAAAGCAGCTTGAACTTCTTCCTTCATCACCACAGGCTCTTGCTCATATGTTGTTTCATTAAATTCTTGTGTCTGCCAATTCCTTTTGGTAAAGTGACTCTGTATACTCTTTCCATCTTCTTTTGATACCTCCTGGATCATTTAACATTCTGCCTAAAGCATCCCTGATTGTAGCAACTCGAGGTTTGAATTTGTTCTTCAGTTCCTTGAGCTTAAGAAATGCTGAGTGAGTTCAGCCCTTTTGATTTTCTGACTCCAGCTGCATATTTCATTGTAATATTGTTCAAAAATTTCCACACTCTGTTGGATGGTCTTTGTTTTGCTCTAGTCACACTATTTACTAGAAACTAAGTATGGAAGCATTGAGACTGTGCTCACTATCAAAGTAGGATGGATACTTTAAAATACTGTATTTCTTTGTGAAAATAGGAAAATGGCTACAAGTGTTGCCCAGACAATCAACTTACTCTAAGCTCATACGATTATCTGTTATTTTCATTTGCTTATATCTTCTATTAAGAGATGCTGTAACAAAGTGACATCTACTGTATGGCTCTTCCTTAAGGAAGCTGTCAAGGTGTCACTAAGACTTGTGAACACAGTTGTTTCATGAGGTTTTTAAATATTACAGAAAGATATTTGACCAGAAAGGATAAAATACATTCTGATCCAATACACTATTATTGATCATGAAAACTGAGTTTAAAAAAAAATTTAATGATGTGGAAATGTCTTAAATATGCTAAGTGAAAAACATGACACAAAATTTTATATATGATACCTGTGTTCATTTTATTATACAGATTCTCTTCAGTTATTTTTCTCCTCTCTACCTCAATAAAAGAAATAACAGTTTGTTGTTACGTACCAACAAGTTGTTTGTGACTCACAGTGACCTTATGTACAGTACCTTTAAACTCTACTCCATCCTGAGCCAATCTAATGGTCTCTGACACACCTATTCCTATTACCCCTGTTACTGTGTCAGTTCATCTCTTTTGAGGCCCTTCCAAACATGATGTCCTTCTCCAAGGACTGGTTCCCTCCTGCCAAAGTGCCCAATTTATGTGAGACGGAGCTTCAAAATCCTTGCCTTCAAGGAGCAGCTTGATTTTACCCTTTCTGTGACAGACCTTTTTGTGCTGTTGGTGGTGCAAGGTATGTTGAACACTCTTCTCCAGCACCACCACCACTCAAAGGCATCAATTCTTCTGCTATCATCCTTAGTCACTGTCCAGCTTTCTGATGCATAGCAAGAAACTGAAGACAATAGCTTGGATCAAGTGCACTTTAACCTCTAGACTGACATTGTGGTTCTTCAGCACACAGAGGTCTCTGACAGCTTTTCCTAATTCAGTTTGCCTTCTGATTTCCTGACTGCTGGTGCCAGAGTGTTGACTGTGGAACCAAGCAAGCTGAAATTGTTAATAATCTCAATCTCTTCTTCATCTGCCAATTAGCTCAGTGGTAAGAATATTTGTTTTTGTTTTTTTTATTTTGAGCTTCAATCCATAGTGAAGACTACCACAGTGCTCCTCAGTTTCAGTGAGGTTATGTCATCTGCATAATGCAGGTTGTTGATGAGTTCTCCAATCATGATGGTAACATTCCTCTTCATAAAGTCCAGCCTCCTGAATGATCTATTTTGCATATAGATTGACAAGGTATGGAAATAAAATGTATCTTTGACGCAGTCCTTTACTAATTTTGAACCATGCAATGTTTTCTTGCTCTGTTCTGATGACTGCTTCCTGATCCAAGTATAGGTTTTGCACAATCAAGTGTTCTGGGATTCCCTTTCTTCTCAAGGTTAGCCACAGTCTGTTGTGATCCACACAATCAAATAAATGTCTTTGAATAGTCAATAAAACACAGATAGACATTTCTCTGATACTCTCTGCTTTCAGCTAAGACCCATCCAACTTTGGCTATAATGTCTCTAGTGCCACAGCCTCTTCTAAATCCCATTTGCATGTCTGGTCGTTCTCTGCCAATAATATACTGTTCCAATTGTTCATAATCTTCAGTAGGATCTTGCTTGTGTGCATTATGAGTGATATTTTTTGTTAATTTCCACTCTGTCAGGTTAATTTTTTTTTTTTAATGGCAATAAATATGAATCCCTTCCGGTCATTTGGCCAGGTAGTTGTCCCCCAGATTTCTTGGCACAGTATTGTGAGTGCATCCAGGGCTTCATCTGTTTATTGAAATATGTAAATTGGTACTCTATCAATCCCTGGGGCCTTGTTTTTTGTTTTTTTCCTTTCCAAGTCCTTCAGAGCAGCTTGAACTTCCTCCTTTATTATCACTGCCTCTTGGTTATATGCTATTTTGTGAAATTCTTCTGCGTCAGTCAATTCTTTTTTGGTACAAGGACTTTATGTACTCCTTCCATCTTCTTTTGATGCTTCCTGGATCATTCAATAGCTATTAGTAACTCTTTAGAAAGCATAAAAAAATAAAAGCATGCTTAAGATTATAAAACTTAAGAAGTACTAAAGAGTTCTTGGGAAAAGTGAAAAGTCTCCTTTTAGTTCCATAATTTATTTCCCTTTTCACTTAGCTGACATTAACATAAAAGAAATCTCCAATTCAAAATCCATACCATCAAGAAAAAAAGGCATTTCTCCACCTAAAAAAACCTCTAACTATTAAACAAATCCCCAAAGGGGTAAAAACAGAGAAGCATGAAAAAGCAAAATGATCTGCTAAGGTATAATTTGAAAGGAAAATTTAAAAAACGAGTGACCAAAATGTAAGGCTTGATCTCCTTTCTATTTCTGAATGCATGAGTATGTATATACTCATATATAAAGGAAATGCATTCATTTGAGAGGCATACAAGACAATGGCCTAAAGCATAGAGTTTGGAATCTTGGACATCACCTACTATTTCTGTACCTCAGTTTCTTCACCTGGAAAATAAGGATACTAAAAGATGCCTACTTGGGAGAAAGCTGGGAAATCTCTTCCCATATGGTTTATAGTCTCTGAAAACCTGCTGGAGGGTCAGCAAGGAGCTAGCTCTGACTTGATGGCACATAACAACAACAAAAAAACCAACAGTGTCTGTAGGTGACTGGAGGGTGGATAATGTCTCCTGCTCAGTGGAAAATGAACTGTTGGAAGCATTGGGTGCAAGCACTGCACAAGTTATGAGGGTGCTG